CCGAATGTAGGTCTTTCAAATATGACGTGGCAGCAGGAAATGAAAGTTGCGTGGGTGTAGACCGACCTCGTCGAGGTGTCGACGTACGACCACGGCACGCCGTACCTGGACTTGTACTCGTGGAACAAGGAGGTCGGGCGCAAAATCAAGGTCGAGACCGCCCAGGAGAAGCTCGATGTGGCCTACATGTTCCCGCTCACGTGCCACGAGACGATCTTTGGCAACCACGTGCCAAGCATACAGTTTCCGGAAGCCATGTTCCGGTCCGAGTATGGCATCACGTACGCATCGGACCCCGACTTGCATTTGGCATCGTGCGAGTCGTACTGCGACTACCAGTTGCTCGATACAAACGAATAGGTTTTCAAACAATATTTCAAATATTAAGCTAGTACATTCAAAAACTTGTACAGTTGAAGTGCAGGTGTGCATATATGCTACAGCGGCGTGTTGTCGGCAAGACACATTTACCTTGGGTCCCGATCTCGAGGCGACAGTGTTCAATCATCTTGCACTGTCGTCATCCTACTTGGAAGACAGCTACTCCTCCACAGACGTGGGGAGGAGGAGCTGTTGACCCCATAGATGCAAATCTAGTGGAGCTGCCGATCGTCCTGCACCGCGACCTCCAGTCGCTGACGCCGCCTCAGTCGCTGGCGACGACCTTGACAAACTGCGTAGCTTTGCCGCCGACCGCGACGCCTGGAAAGATTTGACCGACCGTGTCGTCCAGTGCCTCACCCACGACCACAAGCGTCGTAGGGCGACGACAGAAGAGCTGGACGAGCCCCGCACCGCCGCCTGCGCAGCCACGGACCGGCGAGCGAATGAAGAAGAAAAAGGAGGTTGCTAGTCTCTACGTATGCGAAGTCTTTGTGTATTTATGAAGATAACGCGAAACACGTTCATATACATAGTGGAGTACTAGTACTATGCTGTAAGATCCTAGTCCTCGTACGACGCAATACGTGTGGTACCCTGCGTGGTGTCCAGAATGCGATGTGGTGGCCACGCACTCCACCATACGACAGGAACAGTCTGCGATGTAAAATCCATCGATTTCTCTACCTATCAAATTCTCCTTTGAATCTACGTGCGCGAGACATTCTTGTTCGGGACGAGCTGATAGTCGCAGTACGACTCGCATGCAGCCAAGCGCAAGTTGGGGTCCACGTCGTACGTGTCGCCATACTCGCTCTTGAACATGGCTTCCGGGTGTTGGATGCTAGGCACGGGACTACCAAAGATCGTGTGGTCGCATGTCAGCGGAAATACTTGGGACGCGTTGAGCTTGGCGTTGGCCGTCTCGACCTGGATATACGCCGTCGACGCCGAGTACTCTTTCCGCCACATGTACAGATCCAGGTACGGCGTGCCGTGCATCGACGAGTCGGTTCGGGTTTGCTACTCCAAACACGCAATGAGACGCTGCCACGTCAGATTTGAAAGACCTACATTCGGTGCATACAGAAGCGACGCGAGCGGGTGGTGCGACGCGACGCAAGCGCCGTGGATATCACGTTCAAAGACGTAGAAGCCTCGGGCCCACATGACATCTTGGAGAATGGTCCAGTCTGTAAACGACGGCAGGACGACGTCGACATCAGCCGTGTGCGGAATGATGGCCTCGTCACGCCATGCCCCTAATAGCACACTGTAGTGAGTCATCACGTCACATCATTCTCTCTCAATGCGTACCGAGTAGGGTGCCAAAGTAGACAAACGACGGGAGATGGAGCTCTTCGACGACCTCAAGCATGTTTTCAAGCAGCAGCTGGAGCACAGCCGACCGGCACGGCTTGCCTTGCGGCGTCTCAAAGAGCGTCGCCTTGACACCGCGCCGTGCGCCACACAGCTGCGGCTTGATTGGGAGGCAGTACTCCCACTCCTTTCCTTGGCGGAGCTTGGTCGTGTTGCTGAACGGCGCGAGGAACGGCGCATGCGCGGGCGAGAGCTGCAGCGGCAGCGGCTGGCGCAAGTACCCGGCAAGTCGCGCGTTGTACTCGGCATCGTTCCGCAGCGGACAGTGCGCAACGTTGGCGTGGACGTCGCGCTGAAACGCCGGCGTGTCGTGTTCACAGGAGACTTGGCACTTGGGGTTCGGGTACGTCGCATCGATCTCGTCAGCGTGCTTGGATGGTCGACTGTGCCCCGCTGTAAAGAACGAAGCGGGCAACGACGGTGCAAGGATCGACGCATTGTACAGCGGCAAACAGCCCAGTGGCATCAAGTGCGCCTGCTCGTAGACGTGGTTCTTCTCGGGTGATACGATGAAGACGTCATCGACAGAGTGCATCCGCGACCAGCGCAGGTGCGGTGACGTCGCATTAACGGCCTCGTCGGCGTAGAGAAGAGTCGCGAGCGTGTGGTGAGGCGCCATGCATGTGACCGCGCGGCCGGCCGTCTTGTCAAAAAAGTGGGCAAACCCCCGCGCCCAAAACCACGAAGCGAGATCGCTCGGGGCGTCCGTGAGCATCTAAGAGAATTCTCATGAGCCTGCGCCGATAGCAGCAGTAGAGTGGGTAAGCGTTCGTACGTCAATGGCCGTGGCGTTGGGAGGCAGCGCGCCGTGTTGCCAGAGATGCTCGAGACCCTTGCCAATCGGCATGGCGTTATAGCCGCGCTCTTCAATGGCCTGCAAGAAGCACCTTTGTATGAGATACGGGAAACGTTGTACATGCGACGTACAGCGGCAGTCGCGACAAGTAGGTGGTGCAAAACCGCGGACCGACACGGCGGCGATTGCGTGAAGAGCGAGTCTTGCGACCCGGCGGTGACGCCGCAGACTACTGTGCGCATGGGCAGACAGTTGGCCCACGATATTTGCGCCTGCGCATCCGAGTGGCTACGCAGAGAAGGATGAGCCATGGTGGCCTCAATGGTTCACGCAAAGGTACCGTCGCAGGGCTTCGAGCGACGCCGGCGGGGACGGCGGAGCCGCATAGATCGCTTCGTAGCGCTGAGAAAATTCCTTTGTTTGGTAGCTACAGTCGGCGTGCCGCAGCGGCGCAAGGCTGGCCACCAAGACGTGCCGAATGCTATGGATAGGGTGAACACGACGTACGAGGCGCTTGCAATCGGTACTACCTTTGCGCGGTCGTCGCCGTGTACTGATGGTGGAC